AGGCTGTGGTGGCTGGGAGCGGCCACTGCACTCCAGTCTGGGCGACAGTGAGACTCCAACACAAAAAAAAAAAATTAAATAAATAAATAAATAAATAAATTCTGGAGGGTTTTTTTGTCCCCCTACCCCCCACCCCACATGCCCAAGCAGTCACATTTATTAAGTTTGAGGCAGGATGGGACCCAGGGCACTGCTAGTTTTTAAAAGCTCCTAGCACTTTAGGAGGGTAAGGTGAGAAGACTGCCTGAGTCCAGGGGCTCAAGACCAGCCTGGGCAACTTGGTGAGACCTCATCTCTACAATAAATCAAGAAAAATTAGCTGGGCATGGTGGCACACACTTGTAGTTCCAGCTAGTTGGAAGGCTGAGGCGGAAGGATCTCCTGAGCCCAGCAGGCTGAGGCTACGGTGGCTGTGAGTGTGCCACTGCACTCCAGCCTGGGAGATAGAGTGAGACTGACTCAAAAAAAATAAAAATAAAAAATCTCCCCAGGTGGTTCCAAAGCAGTTAGGATTGGGAACCACTGGCTTTGGGGAAAAGAGATCTCCCACTTCCTCTGACCTCAGCCCCACAATCCATCCCACTTCTTACCTCTCTTAAAATCTAGCAGGAACCAGCGGTAACAGAAGTAGAAGTGGGTGTAGTCTCCATTCTGATGCATCAGTTCAAACAGCTCTGAGTCCAGGATCTTATGTGGGTGGGGGCAGGGAGAGAGACTGAGCCCAGAACCAATGCTGCCTCTCTGGCTGCCCCTCACCCTCCATGCCCAGGGATGTGTGGGTTCCCCAGACTTGGCCATGTGCCTCTCTGCTGTGCTATGCCTGGTGCCCAGTAGCCACATTTTCTCCCCCTCAGGTCTCCTTGGGTGAGGACTACACTCTGCTGACGCACCCATCTCTCTGGGCTGTATTCTTTTTAGAGGTGTACCGTTTTCTAGGTGTTTGATTTCATCATCAACACATTACTTGCCAGAACTTTCATGGTTACAAGCATTCATACTCATACTCTTCCTTGATTTGTAACACTGAAAACAATGTTTTTTAAAATGAAAGAAATTAAGCTTATAGGACATTTTTGGAATGCTTCCTGGTCTCCCTATGAATGATGGAAAAGCCCAGCACTGCCTGGTCATGTGCCCATGGGTGGCTATGGGCCTTACCTGGATGAGGGAGCGCATATTGGCAAAATGGGTGTCCATGGTGCCCCAATTTTGGAAGTTCTGGCTCATCCTCCTCATGAGGTGGCTGAAGCAGCTGTAGGCCAGCTGATCTGAGAGGAGACAGGAGTGAAGCAGGCAGGGCAGGGTACCCCAAAGGACAGGGCTGGCTTATAGTCCCACCCTTCCAGACCTAGCTGTCTTCTTTTCCTTTCTCCAACTTATGTCAACCCAAGCCCAACACCATTTTGGGAGCCTCCACACCCCACAATCTCTCACCATTGTCCAGGATGACCAGCAAAGGTGCCAGCAGATCACACATGCCCTGCACATAGCCCACGTCCAGGTGTTCCCACACATAGCTGAAATGCCAGGAACAGAGTCACTGTGGCTGTGCTCCATCCTTCTCTCCCCTTGAAGGTCCCTGGGGAAACAGCCCCTAGAGGAGCCTGCCACCCAGAAGCCAGCCTTCCCATGACCTTGAAGCACTTCCTGTGCACCTCACACTGGGAGACAATGAGGGACAACCTATGACTCCTGACCCCAAGGCACTTGGGGATTCAGGGAAAGCGACGAGGCCATCATAGCTTGGTATGTGGGGCCAGGGAGGGAAATCAGGTAAGGCTTCTTGAAGAAGCGTGGCGGAAGCTGAGATCCAAAGATTTTTAAGGATGAAGAGGGGTGGGGTGAAGGGTGTTACAGGGAAAATGTAATCCAGACAAAGGGAGCCAAGTGCGCTTCAGGTATAGGAGAGCAGAGCAGGGCGCCTTCCAGACCTAACCTTCCACAGAGCAACCAGTGGCAGCCAGGGTGTGGGCAGGTCCCTGCCTCCCACCCTGAGCCCTGCCCCACATTGGCACCTGCACATGATGTCTCTGAGTCTCTCGAGATTGGGGGGCGTGAAGTACCAGTAGTCGCGGTCACATCTCTGCACGTCCTTGTCTATGCGGTGCAGATTTAAGGCCACGGTGTCCAGTAATTCTATCTGGAAGAGCGGAGGGCCCTCAGGGGTGAGACTGCCAGCCCTTCCCAGGTCGGGGGTAGGTGGTTATGCCCACACAAAGAAATGCAGCAAAACAGGGAACCCGGAGAACCCAGAGAGCAGAGTCTTCCGGGGCTCTTAAGACATGGGTTTAGAGCTCCTTCCAGGTCAGAGTACCCCTACCATCCACCCTGCCAGCCCATCCCCAAGCATTAGTCAGGAGGGCCTCTGGGGCAGCTAGGAGCAGTGCCCGAGGAACGTCCACATACAGTGTAGGCAGCAGCACACACAGCCGCAAGCTCCTCCCCTGCCTCCAGCTCTCTGGCCCGAGAAGCCGTCTCCTGGCCGGCATCGTGGGGCTCAGAGAAAGCGTGGGCTGCAGGAACCAGCCTGTTGGAGCCTTCATCCCCACCGCCGTCTTCCTCTTCGAAGCCCGCGCTCTGCCCCTCATCTAGGCTCGACTGGATGCCTGAGGCCACAGAGTAATTGCGAGAGGATGGCAGTCCTGAGTCTGGAGAGTCAAACTCCACTGACTGCTGCTGCTCCACCACGGCGGTGCCTGGAGTCCCAGCTCCTGGTTCCTCCGGCTTTGACCTGGAATCTTCAGGGCCCTGGGGCCCTGGGGGCTCCATATCATCCACAGAGATAAACACCTGGTAGGGGTAAACACATGGTGGCTCCCATCTGTACTCCAGGACCTTCCCACAGCCCCTACCTCCTCCCTAGGTCAGAATGGAGCAGTAATAGAGAATTCTCTTCACACCCTGTACTCCCAGCATGGCCTCTAACATTGTCTCCACTGGGCATCGAGCCAGCTTCTGACCCAGTCAACCAGGCAGAGAGAAATAAGGCTCTGGGCAAATAAGAAGACTCCAGCCCTGTCGAGTCCCTGCTTGTATGAAACACTCCAGAGCTTCCTGTGTCTGCTGTAGGGAAGAAAGGGAACCAGAGGCCAGTTTGAGCTAAGTCTCATTCTACAAATGCATGAAGTTCGAAGACCAAGAGAGCATCTTGAGTGTTTTGGTGTGGTTGCCAGGGCACCTGTGTGGAGAACAGGCGAGAGGTTTTAGGAGAAACAAGTTTTTCTTTATTTTCAGTGTTGAATGTTTAGCAGGACAAGACAGGAAACTTCTGTAGCAAGTACCTAGTCAGTTATATTAGCCTTCAGGCAAGAAAGAAGAGGCAAGAAGTAAAAGCAAGCATCTACTGACTGCAAACAGTCCACCACCATGCACAAGTCACAGGGAAAATAAAAGACATAAATGAAGGGGGACCCAAAAAACACTAGAATTTATTTATTAAAAAATTGTGTAGCCGGGCTCAGTGCCTCAGCCTGTAATCCCGCGCCTTTGGGAGGCTGAGGTGAGTGAATTGCCTGAGCCCGCAGGTTCGAGACCCGCCTGGGCAGCGAGACCTCATCTCTACAATAAATCAAAAAATCAGGCCTGAGCCTGCGGGTTCGAGACCTGCCTAGGTAACTTGGCGAGCCCTCATCTCTGCC